TCTGATGAATCATTTCCCATTAATGCACAGAGTTCCGCAAACTGTCGCGCAGTCTGAGCTGCAGGTCTCTTGGAACCATCCGATAACTCATCATTTGTCAACAGCGCGTTCAAATAAATACGTGATGGAGGATCAGCAGCTTTTTTGTGCACATGCCGGCGCTGCAAATAGCATGCCTGTTGAGCCATTTGGAAATTTAAGCTTGCGAATGTGTTTTCTTTGGCCACTCCATTGGGATCATCCCATTGGTAATTCAAGAGGGATCATCCCGCATACCAGTGGTGGCTCAATAAATTATACTCCTCAAGCTGATCTCCAAAGTACAGACCCCGCTCACTAAGGGTTTTTTTAAATCATTTTGTTGGTCCTTCACATGAACATCCGGTAGAGCAACCATTTTCGGCTCGTGAACTAGCTGAATGGATGAAAAGTAGCCGCAAAGATCGTCTCTCAGAATTGAAAGTAAGTCAATTTGATGGTAACGCTTTGAATTGGCAGGAATGGTTTGGACAATTTACCTCAACCATCGGTTCCGCCCGTCGGAGTGCTGACGAGAAATTAACTTATTTAAAGACGCTCGTAACTCGAAAAGCCAAAGCGTTTATCCCTGAATACAATCAAAGTGGAGCTTTATACAATGATGCAATTGTATTATTGTTGGGGCTCATTTAGATAGGTTAGCCAGTTTTCCTCCACTCAAAGGGCATTCAGAGAATATTATCAGTTTCTCCTCCTCCGTTTTAGGACTGGTTGCAGTATTTCAATCGTTGCCATTTCATGATGACCTCAAAAGCGTGACTCATCTGAATCAAGCTGTCGGCAAGCTCCCACCAAAATATGAAAAACTTTACTTCGCATGCCTCAATGGGAACCACGGCTTCCGTAATTGCGCAAACAGGACTGTGAGAGCATGCACAACGTCCTCCTCCACGGTGCTGAAATAAATTTTCCACTAAAGAAAAATATTAAGTAAAATCAATGAGTCTAAACCGAAAATTGTTGAACAAGTTTCCACTCATGCCGCTCTGGGGTGTAAAAATTACAAAGAATTACCAAAAGGACCGTTGCTAATTGCAGAATTTGATGTATCTTCGGATAGCACGAGTCTCCAGACGTTGGTTCTTTATGACGAAGCATCTACACAATCGTGGGTTTCTGCATCTCTCGCTAGCCGCTTAAAGTAGGTTCTTGAGCCAGTCCAGTTATCTATCAGTGGTTTCAATGCCGTAAAAGTCATCGAAACTCAGCAAGTCAAATTAAATGTCTCGTCTGAACCGAACAACGCAGGTTTAATTTTCACTATGGAAGCTTATGTGAAAGACAACATTCACCTTGGTACATATTGTATCAATATACTAGAATTGCAGAATAAAAATTCTCAGTTGGCTCCAATAAAGCCGTTACAGTTTAATTATGAAGATGTGGGAGTTAACTTAGGACAAGATTACTACCACGCCGTTTGTCCGATTGAGTTCTTTTTAGAAAAAGACTCTAACTCACCATGTTCTGTCCACCTACCGGTAGGTTGGGTCATAAGTGGTCCGTTACTGCCAACCGCCGTTTAACTTCTTCGTGCTTTAAGCTTGTTCTTAAAGATTCTTCTTTAACTGACCAGATGAAGTCATGGTATGAATTATAATCTTATGGAGCCTTTACACGAGTCGATTCCCGTTCAAAAGATACGCAGATACAATAAAGGAGGACATCAAGAAAAATGATGCCGTTACCGTCGAGCCGCATGATTCACGTTCGTGAACCGCTCGCGATTGGTATCTTCCGCACCACCCAGTTATAAATCTGAATAAGCCAGTTAAGGTGCGCCGAGTTCTTAACGGGGCTGCCAAGTTTCATGGCACGTCCTTAAATCAATCCCCATTGGTTGGTCCAGGTCTACTCCAAAACCTGATAATCATACAATTGTGCTTCCGACAGCACAAATACGCCGTCTCCGCGGATATAGAGGTATGTTCCTCCAGGAAGGAATCCGCGACCAAGATCAATCTTCGCTTCGTTTTTTGTGGCGGGACGACCCCACGTTGTGGTAGTCCATCAGTACACTTGCCATATGTTCTGCGCCTGGGACTCGCCTACGTGGGATATCCTGAAGTGGCGTCAGTGGTTGCCGAAAAACATTATATGGACGATTACTTGCATTCGCTTAGAAACATCAATCAAGCAGTAAAAGATTGTCGGTCAGTTACTTAAATTAGGTGGTTTTGGTTTTGACTAAGTCTGTCAGTAATGTTGAAGAAATATCAAAAGCAAGGAATCCCGAAGTCAATGAAACACCCTCATTGGTTAAGGAAATATGTAATGCTGATTAATCGTCGCACGTCTTAGGTTTAAAATGGGATCATATAAACGACACATTGGTTGTGAGCTGAGGTTTCGATCGGCCTCTCGCTAAGGCGATAATTCATTAAGCCGTTTTGAAATTGGTAAATTCTGTATTTGACCCTATTTGCTTAAAAGGCCCGTGTACGGTTAATAGCCTCGTCTGTTATTTAAACACATATGGCGAAAAAGTGACCAAAAACCTGCTGATGTTTCACCAGAAGAAATAAGGGAAAAATTCCTTGAGTGGCACTCAGGCCTCTCTCTGCTAGGTCAGCTGACACTTCCCCGCTTTTACTTCACAGAACCTGTGGATCGTATTGAGCTTCACTTTTTCGGTGATAGCTCTCATGTTGTTTTCTGCGCCATCGGGTTTTTGAGTGCGAGACTTATAAGCTTGCACAAACTTGAAATATTTTTGTCTTAGATAAAGCGTGGGTTGTGCCAATCAAAGCGTTGTCAATACTCTAAATGGAACTTCGAGCAGCTCTGCTTGCCGCACGGTACGGTTGAAAATCGAAAGTGTGAAAGCGCTTATAGTTAAAGTGAACGATATATTTATGTGGAAAGATAGCACTACCGTTCTCGAGTAGCTTAACTCTCTCGAGTAGCATAATTATCTGTATTTTTCGCTAACCGTGTCGGCAGAATCCTCAAATTGACCACTATTGATGAGTGGCACCATGTTCTGAGCGGCGACAATCCAGTTTATACCGGTACAAAGGGGATTTCTTCAGAGGTGTAAAAGAGTTGTCGCATTTATGTTTAGGATGATGCTTCACATAAGCATTTTCTCGGTAATGACTTACGGATCACCGACCCCACTGAACTAGTTTTTGCAGAAAACAAACTTATTCATTTTGTTCTGATGGAATCCTTCCCCGTTGGGTTAAAAACACTCAAATCTGGCGAACATATAAAGAATAAAAATAAGATTGCCACATACTCTCCTTTTATCGGTCTGGCTGGTATCATTCTTTCCACCGGCCGGATTATGCGCTTAGAGAATACCGGGTTTGATACAAAGCACTCAAAATTATTCGATGCGCGTCATACCCCAGTTCACTTCTTGGCTCACAGTCTCCACCATAAGCATTTTCATCAAAGGTTAAAGGCTTAGACTACATACGCTCTGTTTTGAATATTAAACACGCAATGCTTAGGTTGCTTCGACTATTTCGTTCTAACAAAAATCAATCGGTAATATGCCGTAAATGCCAAGTTAGTACCATCCAGCCATTTATGTCCAATTTACCTGTCGAACGTCTCGGATATAAGCAACCATTCTTTAATCATACGGGTGTGGATTACTTTTATTACGAACTTCGTTGGTGCGGAAGAGGAATTAATTGTCTGCATCATGAACTGGAACGGTACGGCTCCGACCATTTTTGCACACAAATTTGTTGCTTGGAAACTTAACCCGCCAGGCGTACCTATCATAGCGGCTCCGGGAGCACCTCGTCCAATGCGTGAAGCGCGTGCTTTACGATATACTAGGCAGTTGGCGAGTTACTGAAGAAATGCTGGGAACAACACTCTGCTTAGCTAAGCAGGCTTCGAATTCGAGGCCAATCACTCCCGATAGTACCGATTCACGAGAGTTAGAAGCGTTAACCCCAACCCACTTTTTGCTTGGACGACATGCCACAAGCTTTCCTTCGCTTTTATCTGTGGAAGGCTATTTGGTCTCGTTGGCTTCGCAAATAAGTTCCCTCACTGAATAAGCGTTTCAAGTCAGACTGAGTGTGAAGTCACACTCAGTCTGACTTCACACTTAAGACAGGCGATCTCGTATGGGTCATTGAGCCCGACAGCCCGCGAGGATATAAGCCTCTCGCTTGCATCGTTAGACTTAACTACGGCAAAGATAGATGCGCACATTCCGCCCTCATTACGGCAGCCACGAGCGAACTTACCCGACCAACCGCTAAGCTCGCCCCAGTTCTTCCGTCTCTGGGGGCGGAGGATGTTGCAGCGCAAAAGTAAAATGCATATAACCAAAGTGCGAACGTAAAAATTAGTGAAAAGCGACTATAGCCTAACGTATATGAAAACGTTCAAGCCGCCGGTAGAACGGGTTCAATTTCCCCCATACGCTAACTTTTATACATGTATACTCGAGGGGCTATATACCCATTTGATCGATTTTCATCGTTTTTTCTCTCAAACACTGTTCAGACTTGAATAAGTCTGACCTCCAAAAAAGAGCAATTTGTCTCAAGGGCAAATACCAGTCTTTTTTCAGAGCTTGCTTTGAGTTTGCACCTAAAAGTTGATATTTTTATTATCGATATAAAATGCCAAATTATCGTTTTGAGAGTTGTTTACCGAAGAATTATTATTAATAAATTAAGTGTTTTTTGCATTATTTTAAGGTCTTTTTGACGTTTTGAGAGACCGGAGCGGGCACAGAAGAAACTGAAGAATTTATATGCTCGGGGTGTTTTTTTTATTCAGACCGATTTTGGAGAAGTTGACTGCATATGGGCATCCATCCGGGACACCAAGCGATATTGTTTGCAATTGACTAAAGTGTGGCTTGGCTGCTGGAAACATACTTTGACATTGTGTTTCAATACGCGAATTGTTTATGCGTGGCATTTTATCCGCACTCATACTCATTCCAAACTGAAATGAGGCAAGCTATTATCATCGGTCTTATTAAATCCAAATGAATCAAAATTTAACACTTCGATATCATCAGCCTAAAATTCATAGTTTCTCAATATTTAATTTTCTAAAAACTGTTCGAGACGAATGAATGGGCAGTCGGCACATTCAGGGCTTTACTCTGATACGAGTAGTCTTGTTATTATCAACTTTGATTCTGCTTTGCAAACCATAAATCACGATACGATGTTTCAACCGTCGCACTTTTTTCTCCGTGGCCACAATTTGACCATATTTAGATCTCTGAGATAACTCTTTTTGTTTTCACTAAGATATGCCGAGCGAAAATTGCAAGTATCTGCGCAAAACAACCCCATATTTTTTTCATAATCAATGTAAAGATCGTTAATGAGCACAACAAAAAGAGGAAGTGTCATTATGGATTCCTGAGTTAAAGCTTTGAATTATGATTTTCAGACCAACGATGTCAAAAAAATCATTCCACAGATCTATAATAGTGCTATTAAATAATCTTAGTTTAAATTTAACAAATTCTGCTAATTGTTTATCTATTGGGTCTTAGTTCTTTTCTGAATCGAAGCTGTTTTTATCAACTTTTTTATTGGCGCGCGCATCTTTCTTAAAAACTGAAATGTTGGTCCTGAAGTTTTTTTCCATGAAAATTTAGGACTAAAACTTATAGCCAGCCAAAGCTCTTGAAGTGGTATTATGGATGCGGTCTTTTTGAAATATGACTATCAAAAATTTAAAAAAAAACCTGAGCACGCCGCGTTTTTGATTCGTTTCCATTCTTCGTATTGAATTATGTTCTCTTTGATATTCCATCGAGTTATGAATTTTTTGTTTCTTCTGGCAAACTTGCAAATACTACTGGATTTCAAAAAGTAAATTGTTAGGCCTGAAAAAAATTCAACTATTTACAATCTTTATGATTATTCTAATCAGTAGCGGATTTAGGGTAAGCGGGAGGAGGAGGCAGCCCCTCCCTTCAGGGATTCGACCCCTTGACTACCCAAAGGGTCTCACTTTGGTACTATTTTAATAACTCTATTTTTGACTGGAAGATCCGACCCATAAATTTTTTAAATTAATTTTTTACGCCTCTGGATCAAACTTTGGCGAATCTTTTCTGTTAGATGAACGGAAGGCAACGTTTTGGTCAACCAGTTGCTTTACGCCAATCTGGTTTGCATAATCTTTGAAGTTGAAATTCTTTGCCTGAATGGCGGTATGCTGTCAAAACTTAACTTTTTTAAACAGGTTTTTAAGAGAATGTGGAACAATACAACGGAGTAAATTTTTGAGCACTGTTTTTTTCTATCCCAGAAAGCAATTTTCTGCTAATTTGATTATATCAAACCGCCTTCAAAAACAAAAGTTTGGTTTCAAATATCTAAAGATGTTTATTCTGCGATATTACTTTGTAAAGTTATAAGAGTTGAAAAAAGCCGATTTGACGACTATATGAGGACATATTATTACTCAGTTTTTTTTATGTGCAATGCGTAAGCTGCCAATTATTACTTTGAGTTCAAAGTTTTGAGTTCAAAGTCATCATAAACTGAATTGAAGCAAGTTATAATTAGCCTAAATAATGAGCTATTAGACGCAATTTATACCGCTCAGTACCTGGTAATGCATTTGTGGGAGCTCAACTCATCTCATTTGAAGTTCTGAACTCAAACAATACTGACATTCTTGCTCACAACATTTAATGAAAGACTTTTCAGACGCGCGTTATTATATCTCTGAAATGACTTTGAGTTACCATTTTTGTTGTTGTTCTGCTTTCTGGTTCAATTTTGAGGAGTTTAAATGGCGGCATAACAACTCCTCGAAGACTACAGTGATGTTTCCTGTTCAAAATAAATTTCAATAAATATTAGAAAAAACTGATTCTCGAGAAAAGTGACATCAACAATTTCGATGCTCGTCGTATCCTACTAATAAGCTGCTTGGTGTCACAACAACACTTTTTAAAAAAAGCAGAAAAGTACGGCTTTTAGTTCTCAATTTAAGGGCATTCAATTTTTACGATTTTTTTGGTTTGATTGTGATGGAAAAACAATTAGTCATTTTTTCTGACAAATAGAAGTATCAAGACCCATACCGGGTTGAAAGAGCAGCTAATCAGTACATCTCCAATAAGTGTTTCGACTTTCGAACAATTAGGCTTGGTGTGGTTTTCTTATTCAGTCAGTTTTTAACAAAATAACCAAGCGTTTTTGACGGAAATTCTTATACCATCAAGATATTATTGTCCTGAATTTAAGAAGATATTTCACCTGTGATTATTTTTCCTAAAGTTACGGGGGTTTGTAAGACCCAAATTAAATCAAAACACGACTGTTTGTAACAGGGCGAAACCCGAATGTTCCGACTGCTTTTTCAGCTCTATGGAGGACAAAATATCTGAAAAAATATTTGAAATAATTTTTTTTAACTTGTGAATTTTGTTGACAAAATCATTATTCCACACGCCATGTAAGGTACAAGGTGATAGATTTCGGTCCTAGTAACAAATTAATTATGACAAATAAGCTTCTTTCAAACAACTTAGAAGGATTTCTTGGATGGATTTAATCTCCGCTTACGCGTTAATAGCTCGAAATCTATCGCGCGTTAATTTCCCAATTTGGCCAAAATGGCAATTCTTAAAGCCCCATAACGTTACAAAAATGTTCACAGGTGAAACATCTTTTCAAATTTAGGCTTAAGACAACAATAGCTTTTGAGTGATACAAAACTTCAGTCAAAAAAGGTTCGTTAAAAAATCGTAATTTATCTGAAAAAAAAAACACCACGAGAACAAATATTCCGTTACTTTCGCCACAAAAGTTGGATCAAAAAGCAGTACTATCATTTTATACTGACATATGGACGGCAATAAACATAACAAGACTGCTCAAATCAGGGCGAAGCCCTGAATGTTCCGACTGCATTTTAAGGTTTATGGAGCAGTAGTAAAAACATAAAAAAATTAAATGAAATAAAACAAAATGAACATTTTTTTTTCTAAAATTTGAAATTTTTTAAATGAAAAAAATCCCCCCACACGCCATTTAAAGTACAAAAAGAGAGATTTCGTTCCTTGTAACAAATCAATTATGGCAAATAAGCTTCGTTCAACTAATTTGGAACGATTTATAAGACGGATTAAATCTCCGCTTACGCGTTAATAGCGCGAATTATATCGCGCGTTAATTGTCCCAAATTGGTCAAAATGGCCAAAATGGCAATCTTTAAACCGTCATAACTTTACGAAAAATGATCACAGGTGAAATATCTTTTCAAATTTAGGCTCAGGACAACAATACCTTTTGAATGATGTAAAAAAATTCCGTCAAAAATGGCTAGTTAAAAAGTCGAAATTTGTCTGAAGAAAAAAAACCCACCCCGAGCACAAATATTCCGTTACTTTCGTATCGAAAGTCGGAACAATAACTTTTGCTAAATTGAAAAGCGTGTGAAAAAGACATTCCATTTTACTTAAAGAACAATAATGTTCAAGAAAAACAAGACTGCTCGTATCAGGGCGAAGCCCTGAATGTTCCGACTGCCTTTTAAGGTTTATGGAGCAGCAGTAATAACATAAAAAATTTAATGAATTAAAATGAAATGAAAATTTTTTTTTTCCAAAATTCGAAATTTTTTATGAAAATCATCCCCCCCCCCCACACGCCATATAAAGTACAAAAACATAGATTTCGTTCCTTGTAACATTTCAATTAAGGCAAATAAGCTTCGTTCAACCAATTTGGAACGATTTATAAGACGGATTAATTCTCCGCTTACGCGTTAATAGCGCGAATTATATCGCGCGTTAATTGTCCCAAATTGGTCAAAATGGCCAAAATGGCAATTTTTAAACCCTCATAACTTTACGAAAAAAGATCACAGGTGAAATATCTTTTCAAATTTAAGTTCAGGACAACAATGGCTTTTGAATGATAATAAAAATTCCGTCAAAAATGGCTGTTTAAAAAGTCGAAATTTGTCTGAAGAAAAAAAAACCCACCCCGAGCACAAATATTCCGTTACTTTTGTATCGAAAGTCGGAACAAAAATAAAAATAAACAAGTTTGTATGGTTATTTTATTGTCTGCCGACACAATTGAAAAATTTTGGTAACTTAGAGTATCTTTTGTAACTTGAACTTTTCTACCTTTAACCTCGCATGTAACTGGGTTGAAAAGTATTTTAACAGTGTTTTTTTTTGCTCCCGTTATTCTCAATAGTTTGGTTTCAAAGGTATAGTAGCAGCGCGTGATCAGAACAAGTTTCGTTCATTTTCTCATCACTCATTTTTTTTATCGGGTCATTGATCGTAAGTTTAAATCTTGAGATACAATTGTAACTTTTTTGGTCTTTTGGATTATTTATCTTCAAAAGGAAAATTCAAATGTCTCGAATAAGGCTGGAACAAACAAATCCAAGGAGAATACAAGCACTTCCACCCAAGCCGCTGTTGTTGATGTACATGACATTGAATCTTCTAAAGGGTTGTTGCCAATTGCAACACTTGGTGTATCCTCGGATGTAACCAGTCTCCTGACGTTGGTTCTTTGTGATAGTGCATCGACTCACTCCTGGGTGTCTTCGTCACTCGTAAACCATCTCGGCTTAGTAGGGGAGCCCGTTAACTTGTCAATTAGTGGTTTCAATTCAACCACCGTTGTTGAGACTCAGAGGGTCAAGTTTACAGTTTCCTCCGAGCCGAATTATAGTGATTTCGTGTTTTCTTTCTGTGCATATGTTAAAGACAATATTCGGATTGGTTCCGAATTAATCAATATTGCTGATTTGCAGAATAAATATCCAAAATTAGCACCTATTAAGCCCATTCAATATACTTATGAGGACGTTGAAGTTATTATCGGACAAGACTACTACCACCCCGTTAGACCCATTGAGTTCATCTTGGTAGATGATAAAAACTCACCGTGTTCCGTTCGCCTACCGATAGGTTGGGTCTTAAGTGGTCCGTTGCCGCCGTCCGGTAATTCTACTTCTTCGTGTTTCAAGTGTGTTGTTGA